CCTTCCTTCCTTCATCAGCTCCTTCCTTCCTTCCTTCCTTCCTTCCTTCCTTCCTTCCTCTAGTCCCGCCTCTGCTGATCCTTTTATGGGGCATAAGTATGGCAAATAACTATAAAGATGGCCCCCAGCAACGAGGTGATAAGGGTAATCAAGTACTAATCTCATATATGTAATAAAATTTTAAAAACATTACAAAAATTGAAGGACTGTCGGAGGAGAGGGAAAAAGACAGGGCCATGTTCCCTTGATCCTGAACATCATGCCTCAATGGTCTACATCACAGGAGCACCACCTAGAGACCCATTGACCCATCTTTGCAAGAACATACCTCAACTAACAACGTGGAAAAAGCTGGTTCAGATCATTCCGGCTTGAAAAAGTAGAAGCTCCCCAGTGGCAGACCAACATAAATAAATAAATAAAGCCAGTTTGGGAGCAAAAAAAGGCTAGACCAGTTAGAACCAGCCCTTGCTGATTGTGGTCAGTAAAAAATATAGTGGTGCCTCGCTTGAGGACGTTAATTCGTTCCAGCGAAATCGCTGTAGAGCAAAAATGTCAACGAAATTTTTTTAAAAAAACATTGAAACGCATTGAAAACCGTTCAATACATTCCAATGGGCTGAATACCTGCTCGTCCAGCAAAGATCCTCCATACGGCGGCCATTTTCTGATGCCTCTTAAGCGAAAAAGCCTTCCTAAAAACAGCGGGGGCCATTTTCTTCAGCTGGTGGCCATTTTGAAACCCAGCTCTTTGCTGATCGTTGTAAAGCGAATAATCGGTTCCCGAAGCAGGGAACTGATCATTGCAAAGTGGAAAAACCCCGCAAAAGCGATCGCAAAAACCTGATCGTACAGCGATTTCCTCATTAAACGGGGCAATTGTTAAGCGAGGCACCACTGTACTTCGAATTCACCAGTTGTATAAGCAGTGCAATACTTGGCCATGTTGTTACTGCCCAGAGCAGGAGGTTTCTCTTTTTTTGAGCCGAGCCCATCAGCTTGTCAGAAAGCCTGTTGTTGCATCTTGGACTAGAGAGAGGCTGCGGTGAGGGCTGAACGGAATGACTGGTCCGGCTCTGAAAATTTGTGATTCTGGAGGAAAGAGATGTGCGAGTTAGCTGCCAAAGATCCAGGGGGGCTGTTGGGACCTAGTTCTGAAATAACAGTTGTTGTTTTTTTTGGTGTCTGTGTGTATATATGAGAGAGAGGTGTATGTTGCATTTGTGGACTTTTCCCTAAAGATGTCTAACTTCAGAATGTTACTTTTCTGGACAGTCCCCCCTCTGGACCCCCGTGCTGCTGGTGGGTGGATTCCAGAAGCTGCAATTCAGAAAAGCAAACTTCTTCAAATTCGACCAGAGAGGGAAGGTCATTTGTTCTCAAGGTCGTTCACAAACCGGACAGTGGTTGGGCGTGCAAATGTTCTGACTCTTCGGTGTCTCTGGCAGGTCTCTCTGGATCAGTACCAGACCGAAGAGGAGATCTACCAGCTGTCTCTCCAGCGGGAGCCTCGGAACAAATCCACGGTAAAGTGGCACCATTTTGTCCCCCCCTCCCTCTCGGCCATCCGAGGGCAGCCGTCCTGAGATGCGGCTTTCCTCTGGGACGCCATTCGAAAAACTCACGTGTGGGAGGCTGAAGGGAATCTGAGGAGTGTGAGGTCCCTAAGGTGGTGGATCTGCTGCGGGTTTGGGGGGCCAAAACTCTAAAGGGGCTGCCCAGGCTGCGGCACCTAAGTCAGGGAGAGGGTCCGGCATCTTGTACCGCTGCTGGAAAGGTTCGGCTAAAAATCCGGAGAGGACGCTCTTCCATCACCGTGCCCCCCGTTATCCTCCACTGTGGCCCTACACGTTGTTGGACTACCAACCCCCATGAGCCCCACCATATCTAATGGTGAGGAATGCTGTGAGCTTCCCACCGTTTTCCGGAGAGCGGCGCTGTGCCCACCCCTGATTTAAACGCTGGGGAGTCATTAGCGTGGCAAGGGAGGTGGTGGCACTGCGGGTTAAACTGCAGAAGCCTCTGGGCTGCAGGGTCAGAAGACCTGAAGTTGTAAGATCGAATCCACACGACTGAGTGAGCGCCCGTCGCTTGTCCCAGCTCCTGCCAACCCAGCTGTTCGAAAGCATGTAAAAATGCGAGAAGATAAATAGGTACCACCATGGTGGGAAGGTCACGGTGTTCCATGTCTAGTCGCGCTGGCCACGTGACCATGGAAACTGTCCTCGGACAAACGCAGGCTCTATGGATTGGAAACGGGGATGAGCACCGTGCCCTAGAGTCGGACATGACTGGACTAAAAATGTCAAGGGGAACCTTTACCTTTACCTAGTAATTAGCGTGCTGGTTTGAAACCCATTTCCTCATCGTTGGCCTTGCCCACTGGCTGGTCCAATTCTTCTCTCTCTCTCTCTCTCTCTCTCACACACACACACACACACACACACACACATTTTATCCTTCAAGTTGTCTGCTCTCATCCTTGGTAGATATAAGGCCACGGAAACGCTCCTCTTGTGGTTTTTGGGTGGACATGCAGCTGTTTGCCTTAGGCTGCTGATACTGGGAGGCGGCAGCCAAGCGCTGGAGGAGAGAGAGAGAGAGACCGCCCGGTCGCCTGTGGTGGCCTCCTTCAGCTAGGCTGCAAGAGGGTTGACGATGCTCCCGCACCCTCGCCAAAGAAACGTCTAGCGGTCAAGGCTTTTTCTGTACAGGACGGGAAGGGGCAGCGGGCTTGTCCTTGACCCCAGACGGCAAGTTGTCCTAGCCCGTGCTTGCTGTTCGGGCCAGTTCTGTAGAGAAAACTCTTTTCATGGCGACAATTCCAAGTTATGGCCACCCTTTCCAGGGTTCCCTAGGCACAGGAGTACTCAGAAGTGGCTTCCCCTTTTCCCTTCTTCTGGGGGCGCTTTGAGACCGCAGCTTGCCCAAGGCTACCCAGGCTGGCTCTTCTCCTGCAAGACAAAAGGGTGGGTGGGGGACCGATCTTGGCTTGGTGGGCCGGTGCTCCCCCTCCCTGTGCGATTCAGCCAGCTGCTCATTCTGCAGGGCGAGGTTTGGTGCTGTCTTTCCCTCTAGCCACGAAATGTCTCCTGCCAGCCGTGTCTTGGGGGGGTCAGTTTTGCAGGGAGGGGGCTAAGCAGGGGCTAAGGGATCCTTTCTTCACAGCCTGCTCCAGGCTTCCTCCCCGGGGGATATATTTCCTGTTATTACTGAGCTGAGCGGCCGGATGCAACTGTGTGTCGGTGATGATCACATTTAGCCGTTTCTCTTCCTTGCTTCCCCACCCTGCCTTCTTTTTCTCAACATCATTTCTCACTCACTCACTCACTCACTCACTCTCTCTCTCTCTCTCTCTCTCTCTCTCTCACACACACACACACACACACACACACGGTCTTCTCACCTGCTATGTTGCTAGTGGGACAGACTGAAGGGAGTGCAGAGAGCCGGTGCCTGAAAGGAGAGGAAGGACGGTACAGTAGTGCCCTGCTGGACGATTACCCCGCTCTACGACGAATCTGCATTATGCCAACGTTTCTGCGATCGCTTTTGCAATCGCAAAATGACGTTTTAAATGGGGGAATTTCACTTCACGTTTATCCGTTCCCTGTTTCGGGAACCGATTTTTCGCTTTACGACGATCAGCACACAGCTGATCGTTGGTTTTCAAAGTGGACACCGGCTTTCAAAATGGCCCCCACCCCGCTCTACGACGAATCTGCATTATGCCAACGTTTCTGCGATCGCTTTTGCAATCGCAAAATGACGTTTTAAATGGGGGAATTTCACTTCACGTTTATCCGTTCCCTGTTTCGGGAACCGATTTTTCGCTTTACGACGATCAGCACACAGCTGATCGTTGGTTTTCAAAGTGGACACCGGCTTTCAAAATGGCCCCCCACTGTTTTCTAGGACGGATTCCTCTCTATACAGGCACCGAAAATGGCTGCGGTATGGAGGATCTTTGCTGGACGAGCAGGTATTCAGCCCATTGGAACGCATTAACCGGGTTTTAATGCGTTTCAATGGGTTTTTTCGTTCCGTTTGACGATGTTTTCACTCTACAGCGATTTCGCTGGAACGAATTAACATCGTCAAGCGAGGCACCACTGTACCTTAAACAGTGCTCTCACCAAAGAAGGCCATGATCTGCCTAGAATACACCTATACTAATTTTATATATACAAGAACAAATCTAGAAATGGCAGCTGGAATCTAAATCTGTGTAGTCACAGGCAGAAAAGAGTAGCCGAGGCTGGGGTCACATGGGCCATTGGAACAGATGTCTGTTCTGACTTTTTAAAAATCAGGTTCAAGTCACGTGGTGTTTAAACCGGTAGCTGCGGTCCTGTGCACTGAATAGAAACTGGTTTATTCCTAGTGATTTAAACCAGTTCTGGCATCTACACTGCTGACATCGACTTAATTTCCTTTCTGTTTGAAGAGCATGCTGTTCTCAAAGAGTTTGATTTTTTTTTCCAAAATAAGTAAGTGATACATCGATAAATCGAGTGTCTAGGGAGTGGTACCTGGTGTTGCTAGAAATTACAGGGGAAACACAAGAGGTAACTCCAGCTGATTAATGTTGGAAAAAATGAGAAAGGAGCGGGGGACGCCTCCAGCTGCTTTGACGGGCAACGCTTCCTGGCGCACGGGCCACGCTCCGTGTCCAGGTACCACCACTCTGTGCCCGCTTGTCTTCTGCTGCTCTGCTGGCTCCTTCCGAATGTAGAGAACAGGGTATGTGGTTGTAATGCTGAACATATTGAGGAAGTGATGCAACGATAAACATTTCAAGAAATGATTGGGGGGAAATTTAAAGGGAAGAACAGCGGTAAACCTGCCACTCGAAATCCACGTAGGCGCCAATTTAAAAAGGACAGCCGCATTCAGATCCACAAAACTGAATTGCATCCAGTCGATTTTAGCAGCAAGGTCCCTCTTTGAAAAAGCGCCTGCCCGCCAGTCGAGAAAAGCAACCACCTCGCTTTGCAGCCCGGAGAAATCGATTCTGCCCTCGCGTCGTGTGGATGCTAAAATCTAAATCGATTTAAATGATGCTTAAATGCAGTTCTTATTGCCAGCGTGACAGCAGCCTGAATTAATGCCTCGGCGGAGGCTGTTGTACTTTGGGTGTATCGTAAGAAGGCAAGACGCGCTAGGACAGATAATAACACCGGGGAAGGTGGAAAGCAGCGGGAAAATGGGAAGGCCAAGGAAGAAATGGGCAGACGGAAGCCAGGCTTAGTGGGCTGAGACGGATTGTTCATGATAGATCTCTCGGAGTCCGAATCGACTTGACAGCACAGAACAACACTGAATCCATAGAAACCTGATAAATCGACACTTGAGTAAATAACCTGGATTCAGTAAGGTTCCTTTCGTGTGATGAACACCAAAAATTGAAGCGGAAAAATGCAGCAAAGACTGGACCCCTGGGGCTTGCGTAGTCGGCTCTTGATCAAGTCCTGCTAATTATTATTTACCTGTTTGTTGCACGGCTGTCGCTCCTTTGCTCGGAGGCAATCGGGGAGATGTACATGGTTGTCCTCGTAATATTGAACAATATAATCAACCCGCCTGTTTCCCTAGGACAAGGAGAGATGGCTAAAAACCCTCGGAGGATTTTGGCTTGTCCTCAGACGGATAGAGACAACTCTGCTAAGCGCAGATGGGGAACTCTTAAGGCCCTGATCAGAAATTTTTCGCTAAGCGTGGGCTGCTCATGTTTTTTTTAAAATAGAGGACTGTTTTCTGATCAGCTTTCAGATGGAGGATTTCTGTATAGTAGAATGCAGAGCCACTTTGCATGAAAAGGAAGAAGAGAGTTTCGGAAAGGCAGTCGGTTTTCTGCTCTGTAAGCGTGCAAGGAGATTTCCTAGTGGGGTTCAGTTGCAGGAGCTGGGTTAAAAGCAAGTCCTCGCACTCACCTCTGGTGAGCCTGGAATATATCTTCTGATCTCGCCTGCTTTCCTAAGGCAATGAGGGCTCTTCCAGGGAGGGGACAGGAAACCCAACCCAAGCGATCACCAGATCCCTGTGGATTGCCACAGAGGAGAACAGGGTTTACCAGTATTGGCATTCAAAAAAAAAAATCTCAGTCTCAAAAAGCTGCTGCTTCACTGGAAATTTATTATTATTTATCAATTTGAAATATTTTTACCCCACCTTTGTCCTTAAAAAAAAAAAGGACCCGAGGCGTCGTACGTCCTTAAAAGACAATATTAAAGCTAAAAACGGTAAGTATACATAAATACAAAAGAAGGATCAAATAAATAGACAATATTAAAGCTAAAAACGGTAAGTAGGATCAAATAAATAATATAAGCAACAACAAAACACATTCAAAGCAGTCAGGGACAACCAACCCTTTAAAAAACCCCATGCAGTCTGTCAGGGAAAGCCTTGCCCTAAGAGAAAGGTCTTTGCCTGCTTGCAGAAGGAGAGCCGAGATGGGGCCAGGCTGGCCTCCAGTGGGAGGGAGTTCCAGAGCCTGCGAGCAACGGCAGAGAAGGCCCTCTCCTGGGTCCCCACCAAATGCCCCTCTGAAGGTGGTGGGGCGGAGAGAAGGGTGTCTCCTCGTCATCTTAACACTCAAGCAGACTCCTAAAGGGAGAGGAAGACTTTGAGATCGCTTGGCGCCGAGCCGTTTAGGGCTTTGACATTCCCATAGAAATACGCTTCCCAGCTTCTCACTGTTTCGGAAATGACTTCCCACTGGAACCACCAGGCTCTGCTCCCAAAACAAACCCGGGAACCACAAGCAACCCTAGTGGCTTCAGGAGGAGCAAAACCCGACTTGGAAAAGCAGAGGGAAGCGCACGGCCTTTCTTACGACGAGTCTTGCGTCATTTGGATGCTGCAGGAAAAGGTACCAAAAAACACCCCAGAATTCAGAACCTTTCTAGAAGCCTTTCTCTTGTCTGGACGGGCCCTCAGTTCTTCACGAGGAAAGGCAGGAAATACACTTATTGGGAAATTCGTATTATACCTATAAGACAGTGTGGTATAGCAGTTAGAGGAGGGTCAGGGGGGTTATTTTGTTCTTCCTCATTCATAGGCCTCCTCCAGTCTTGAGAGACTACGGTAACGTGCTCTGTATGGAGGACTTGGAACAGCGTCTAGTGTTTCGATGCTGTATGCAAAGCTGGAGTGTCCTCTCCAGGGCATGAAACCTGGGTAAAATAATATGGAGGATAGGCTGTTACCCAAGCAGCAAAGCCCCCCTCTCCACGTCCCAGCTAACATGAAAATCAGCCAGGAGGAACAATGGCGAGGAATAACGGGCGTTTGAATCAGGTGCCCATCCTGTGGGGCTGACTTCGGGCAGCAGTGGTAAAACTTGAGCTCACCCTTCTCCCCACTTCAGCTGGGCCATGATGCTCACTCGAGATGTGATCAGTCCTTTTAAGTCGTGTTAGTTATATAATGAAAAATTTTAAAAAGGAAAGAAAGCAGGAAAGGGATGCGTCCGATCCACCAGAGAAGGGTCACGTCTCTGGGAACAGTCTTCCTTCCACCTACAGTGGTGCCTCGCTTAACGACGTTAATTCGTTCCAGCGAAATCGCTGTAGAGCGAAAAAGTCGTAAAGCAAAATAAAAAAGCCCATTGAAATGCAGTGAAAACCGTTCAATGCGTTCCAATGGGCTGAAAACTCACTGTCCAGCGAAGATAGAGGCGGCCATTTTCAGGGGCCTGTAAACAAAAAATGGCTCCTAAACACAGTGGGGAGCCATTTTGTACACCTGATGGCCATTTTGAAACCTGACGATCAGCTGTTTTTGATCGTTGTAAAGCGAAAATCGGTTCCCGAAGCAGGGAACTGATCATCGCAAAGCGGATTTTCCCCATTCAAACCATCGTTGTCAAGCAGATTCATTGTTAAACGGGGTAATCATAAAGCGGGGCATGACTGTACTGGGGAATTGCTGCCCCCAGTACGTCCAGTTTGGGCATAGATCAGGGCCACGCTGGAGACCATTTCCCCTACACCCACAGGCGGTCCAAAATACAATCCCTTTCCCCCTGTGATTGTGCCCTCGGTGATGCACATCATGCAGCCCCGAGGACCAGCTCCTCTTACTAGAACTCGTGTTGTGCCTTTGTTTTCTGAAAACATGGGATTTTCCCCCCCTTTCCCTTTCTTCTCTGTTCCAGCCTTCCAGCCCCACGTCCTCCACCCCGTCCCCCCAGCCCGTTGTGATTGAGGAGTGGGCATCAGTGCCCAAACCCAAGCCGGACCAGGCGATTGTGCGGAAGCACATTGAGAAGATGGTAGAGGTACGTGCCGGTCTGGTGCATATGCGCGCGCATGCCTGCGCATGGCCAAGAAACAACATCTGGCGCAGCATTTCATGGGGCGCTCATGACGCCGTTCGGAACCCTCCGACCCTGATGATCTATTCAAGTGGCCTCCTGATACGTTCAACTACAAGGCCCATCACTTTGGTTGACCAATCCCTTCCTCTAGGGGGCGTCCTGGGACTGTACAGCTGGCCCAAGGCTACCCAGGCTGGCTCATAGGAGGCCCAGTGGCGGGAATCGAACTCCCAACCTCTGGCTCCTCAGCCAGAGATCTAAACCGCAGAGCTGTCTTTAGTGCAAGTGATGGAAAATGTCTAAAAAATAATGATGGCGCTTGCCTCTACTTTCATGGTTCAGCAGCATCGAATGGGTTGTTTGTTTCTTTTTTAACAATCAGCCAGTGGTCCTATGTGTGTCCATGTATTTGCTGCTTCTTAAAGAGAAAGCACACACTTTTAAAAAAAAACAGAGACAGTGTGTATAAATTGCAGAGATTGTGGTGGTTTGTTTTGCACTAAGAGGAGGTAAGGTTGAGGTCCACAGCCACCTTGCCAATAGTGCCTTCCTCCGACATTAATGATGGGACCACGCCTTCTGCCCCCTCTGGATTCTGTGCACTAGACTAGGCTGGGCTGATCTCATCGCTATCCATGTTGAACTATTTATACCTAGCCTCCCCATTTTAATTCTTCTCCTGTTCCTCTTGTGGTGCCTTAAACCTTGGTACGGCTGGACCCCAGGGTCTGGATTCCTAGGAAATGACCAGCAGAGGTCTTAAGGTAGGGAGTTGCTGGGGCCCCTTTAATTTGGGGGCGCTCGTGGGCATGTGGAAGGGGTCCACTGCTTCCCCATTAGGAAACCTCACAGAAGTGCTTGCCCTTGTCTGGATCCGCCAAGACTGCCTGCGGAAAGGTTTGTTAAACTCTGCGAGATTTCATCTCTCCACCATAAGAACCAGACACAACTCATTTCTTGGCTGCTGCTGCTGTTGATGATGTTTTCAGATCAGTTTGTGCAAAATGGCTCTGTGCAAAGCGAGGCGCTCTGTTTCTGAGGAAGCAAAGCAGGCCTGGAAGGACTGGATGATGGGTCAAAAAGACATAAACAACTCCCTTGGTGTATGTGGCTGTAAATGTTCCTCCAGCAAGACAGCAGCTATCTGCGTTGAGCTAGGCAATTGGTGGAATTTCTGCAAAGACAGATTCTTGCAAAAATGCTTATCAGGACCAGCAGAAACAATCTGGCCTTCTCACACGCATGGCGAAGGATCTCATGTTTTTCTCCTTCGCGCCTGCGAGAACAAGACTCGCAAAGCGCCACCTTCTTACGGTCTCGTTCAGTCTTTTTCCTCCCCCTCCTGTCTTTTTCAGTCCGTCTTCCGGAACTTTGACGTGGATGGAGATGGCCACATTTCCCAGGAAGAGTTTAAGATCATCCGGAATAACTTTCCATACCTCTGCAAATTTGGAGACCTGGATGAGAATCAGTGAGTGCTTTTTTTGGAGGTGGTGGTGGTGGGGAAGTACCTATTGGAGGACAGCACAAAAATTCCAAGGCTCGCCTTTCCCCCAACCCCCGGTACACTGGTGCCTCGCTAGACGATGATAATCCATTCCACTGAAATCGCTGTTTAGCGAAATTATCGTCTAGCGAAAAGCATTTCCCCATTAGAATGCATTGAAACCTGTTTAATGTGTTCTAATGGGGAAGAATTGCCGCTGTCTAGAGAAGATCGGCCATAGGAAAGCCGCTTTGCAAACCGCCGATCAGGTGTTTAAATAGCTGTCTTGCGAAGCTTAGGTCCCGAAAACACCCGTCTTGCGAGCATGGAGGGAGCTGTCAAAATAGTCGTCTAGCAAAAATCGGTTTGCGAAGCAGGGACCAAACATTGTCCAGCGAAATTCCCCCATAGGAATCACTGTTTTGCGAATCGCTATAGCGATCACAAAAAGCCAATGTCTAGCAAAAAAACTGTCATGTGGGGTAACTGTCTAGCGAGGCGCCACTGTATCTTCTTTTTCTAGCCCTCCATCTCTCATAATTAGCCCCAGTCTTTATTAGCAGCAGTTAGAGCTACGCTCATCAATGGAGTTGCAGGAGTTGTGATGAGAATCTTAAAGCCAGTGAAGAGACCGCACTGAAAATATTCCAAAACTGGGTTCCGACTCCACTTCGATTCTTCCATATTAATCCTGCAATGTCACCTAGGTGTCGGAGAGACTGCATTCAGCACTTCTGGTGGTATTGCAAAAAAAAAAAAGGTGTTCAATGAAATAAAATCATGACTCTGATGATGTTTAAATCCCCTGAAGTAGCACTCTTTACCCTTTTCCTAGGGGAGAAGGAGTCCATTTTACATGAACCCTCCATAGGCCATCTCCTTGTTGCACCAAGACAGACTTGGGTGGGAAAATGTGCTAAAAGCATCAATTGCTGCACGATACTCTAGGGCAGGGCAGGTGGTACTGCAGGAAAAATTAACCACCAAAGTACATATAGCTAAAGGGATAAAACATATGGATTCTTTTGCAATGGCCTGGCATCCTTTTGTTGTTCATATGAACGGCATAGATAATAAGGGACTCCTTGATGGATACAGAACTTATTGGTCCTTATAATATACTTGGAAGAGGATTATAATTTTCCGTGAAAAGCAATTTGGATATGACTCTGCGGCGGGAATGAGGGTGGAGGGAAGAAGGGTCCGGAAATCATAAAGTTGAAAGGGATCTATAAGGTCATTGGGTCTAACCCCATGCTGGAATACATACAGGAATCCAAATCAAAGCAGATATGACAGAGGGTTGTCCAATTTTCTCTTGAACGCCTCCTTTGTTACATGGAGCGCTCACCACCTTCTGAGGTCAATGATTCCGTTGTCATACTGCTCGAACAGTTAAGATTTTTTTTCTGATATTCAGCCTAAACCTGGCTTCCTGCAGCTTGAGCCCATTGTTACGCATCCTGCACTCTGGGATGATCAAGAACCGATCCTGCCCCTCCTCTGTATAACAGCCTTTCAAATATTTGAAAAGTGCTGCCATATCTCCTCTCAGTCTTATTTTTTCAAAGCTAAACATCCCCAGTTCCTTCAATATATGATTGTATATACAGTGGTGCCTCGCATAACGATGTTAATCGGTTCCATTAAAAACATCGTTATGTGAAAACATCGTTAAGCGAAACACCATTTCCCATAGGAATGCATTGAAAACCGGTTAATCCGTTCCAATAGGAGCCTAATTCAATACATTTCAATGGTGAAAAAAAATCACCAAAAATTCAAAAAGACTCAGAACGAAGCCAAATTACTTTAACGAAGGTTTTATTAGGTGCACTAATGATTCCAAGCATTTTAAACATTTTTAAACATTTTAGAATATTTTTAAAATAGCGAAAACAGGGCTGTCAAAAAAAACGTTAAGCGAAACAGGGGACCTAAAACTGTCATCGTTAAGTGAAGCAAGGTCCCAAACATCGTTATGCAAAAATCCCCCATAGGAAACATTGTTAGGTGAGGCAGCAAAATTTCCAGCAAAGGCCATCGTTATGCGAATTCATCATTGAGCGAGGCACTCACTGTAATAAATAAAACATTTATAATTCACTTTTTGCTTCAATTTAGAAGCACTCAAAGCAGCTTGCGTGAAAAAAAAATTAAACCCCGGGCAGGATTTTATTGCAACAACCTAATTGTTATTAAAGCTGGTAGCCATAGATTTAACTCATTCTTCATTGTTTCATAACCGAGAAAGTAACTTTTTTTGGGGGGGGATAGGAGGTACAAAGCTGTAGTTTTGCGGGAACTGTCATCTGAAAAAGTAACTTTTCCGGTCTCTAGATCTATTTAAAAAAATTGAAGGCATGGCCGTCTTCATTGCTACTCGGCACAGCTTTTCAAGTTTGCAAATTAAAACATAAAGCGGAATGCCTTCTTTGCAGCAACAGGCTGTGTTTCCACAACACATCTGAGAGCGTGGAGCAGGCTTGTTCTTTGAACAAATGTTTATAATTAAAAGTTCCATATCAGCAGCCTTGGAGATACACTGCGGTCGGTTTCTTTTTCGTAAAACAACTGGGGAGCTGGGCCATGTGCTTTAAATAGTCAGCAGAGGATCGGTTAGAGCCGGAATATTGTGTTAAATTAGAAATTATCTTTTCCTGCGGGTTGGACAAATTCTGTTTGAAGGAAGAGATCCTTGTACACGGATGTCTTTGGGAGAAAGAGGGAAGGAGATACGTCCGTGTGTGTGTTTCGGGGACGGCGTGGGATGCCAAGACCAAATATTTCAGAGCTCTGTCCATCCCCCAGAGAGAGAATCCGGAGTCCTGGCTCCTGGCCCATCCACCCATCTTTTTTTTCCTGTGCTTCTCAATGCAGGAGTCCTCGTTTCCCTTCTCAAGCATCCAACAGCCGCGTTGTTCCCTTTTCCGGTGACCTGCGGTCAACAGCCTCTTACTCTCACAGCTGCTTGACTCCATAGCCGGGCTCTCTTCCGGCGCCCCCCCTCCACCTAAGGCTTGGGTGTTTCCCCCCCCCCACCAAATCTTAGAGGTTTCCGGTGGCTAAACCACCACCACCCCCAACCTTCCAAGTGTGTGGGAACAGAGACGGGTTGGGTGTGGCTCCTGAAACTGTTTGAATTTCTGGGCGTAAGGCGGTCTTGTGTTGTTTTTTCAAAACCCGAATAACACCCTAGCCGAGGGTCTCGCTGCTGGTGGGGGGTACTGGCCGAATGTCATTGAGTTTGAGTTTTAGCTCTTGGAATGGGACGTGGTGGCACTGTGGGCTAAACCGCTGAAGCCTCTGGGCTGCAAGGTCAGAAGACCTGCAGTCGTAAGATCGAATCCATGCAACGGAGGGAGCCCCCGTCACTTGTCCCTGCTCCCACCAACCTAGCCATTCGAAAGCACGTAAAAATGCAAGTAGATAAATTGGTACCACCTCGGTGGGAAGGTCACGGGGTTCCGTGTCTAGTTGTGCTGGCCACGTGATCACGGAAGATTGTCTTCAGACAAACGCTGGCTCTATGGGTTGGAAACGGAGATGAGCACCGCCCCTTAAAGTCAGACACGACTGGACAAATTGTCAAGGGGAACCTTTGCCTTTAGCTCTTGGATTTAACAATTCTGGTGGCAACTGAGTTCAAGTCTGGGGAATGACCTCGAAAACAGGGATGAACCCTCTTTAACCATCCTCTTTCAAGACAGGCGTCCGTGGGCGCAGGAAAAGAACGCTCTTTTTAAGGTTGAAAACGAACACTAGCGTAGAATGGTTTTCGGTTCCTCTTCTCCACATTTTACAGAGGGAAACGGATAGTGGGCAGGCCCGTCAGAGGAGACCTTTCCAAGTTTACATTAGGATGATGCGGCCAGCTCGAGTGCCAGACCAAAGAGGCAGTGCGGTGTCGTGGCTAAAACGCTGACTTTTAGACTTGTTGAGATCAACGTTCAGCCTAGCCTTCCTCACTGGGTTGTTGTTGTGGGCCTACAGCAGGAAGGGGAGAGCCATACGACAGCCAGGCAAACCTTGAGCTTGCCGAAAGAAATGTGACTTCATTGGGTGTTGTCAAGTCACATCCAAACCTAACGAGGTCTTCAAAGTATGGGAGATGTTTAAGACGTGGCTTGACCACTGCCCTCCCCAGTGAGGCTCCACAGCTGGGCGAGGATTCAAACCCAGGTCAATCCGTCACACGATCTATACTGGCTCTCGCTGAAACAAAGGAGGGATATAAATAGAAGACACAAAAAGGAGCAAAACGGGCTGTATGGATGTGGACTCAATAAGCAGGAGATGAGTTTTGTTGTAAGTTCACATCGTCATGGAATTGTAGAGCTGGAAGGGGGAGCCAGGGTCATCAAGCCGAGCTCATGCCGAAGCAGGAGATCCACCACTAAGGCCCCCCCTGGCAGGTGGCCAGTTAACCTCTTTTGAAATATCTCCAGTTGAAGGATCATCTGCCCTACCAAAGGAACTTCCTTCCAGGGTGGAACAGCACTTCCTGCCAAGAGGTTCTTGGAGATCTCCTCTTGTGTAGGAAGATCAATGTTTGCTCTCCCTGCAAAGGTTGGGTCACCATTGCTGGTGATGACCTGGCCTGCCTCGCAGGGCTGTTGAAGGGGATACAAGAGGAAGAGGAAAGTCAGGTTTGCCTGAACTCGTAGCAAGAAAAATGGCATACAACGGAAACCAAGCAACTGCATTGCGTCTGAGCAAATGGTTTCTCCAGAACATTTTGTCACACGGTCAGGGTTAGGGAAACGTTGCTGGATTCCAGTTCCCATCAGGATCTCTCCAAGCCTGGCCAATGATAAAGGAAGGTTAGGAATTCCTCATTAACACACAGAAAGACCTTGGTTTTCCACTCCTAGGCGACATGGTTAACGAAGCAGGGTTCCAGAGAGGGCAAGAAATGAAAGGTCTGTGTGATGCTGACACCATGGAGCTTCTGTCGACACACAATCCTTAAGATGAACGGAGAGGAGGGAAACCTCCCAAACCAGCTTTCACAGAGAGAGCTTGGAAAAGTGAGTTTAGGGCAACCGTCTTCCCCTGCGTTCCCCTGGCTGTAGGGTTTGGGGGAAGCTGGGAGTTGTAGTCCAGAAATGGAGTTCTGCAAAATAGACGCAATGCAGATTTCAGGTTGCCCTTAGCGTTGGTAGGGCTAGTCCTTCCCCTCCCTCCCCCCCATAAAATATGAAAGTCCAGCTGTTTCTCACATCCGTTGGGTCTCCATCCGCTGATGAAAGGAACACTCGGCTTCCCGGGTAGGGACAGGAAGCAGAAGATGAGGAAAACTGGGTTGCTTTGAGGGGGACTCGAAGGCCGGTATTTGGCCGGTCGAACAAAGGCGTTGCCCTTCTTAAAAGCGCACCTGGCTTCCTTCTCTGCTTAGCTCAACGTTTGCTTTAATGGCAATGTTTGCGTTGGTCACTTCCCCTTTCCATTTCCTCCGAGGAGCTGAAGGGGGCAAGCGTCCTTCTTTGAGAGACGGGAAAAGTCACATTTTTACCGACAGCTCTCGGAATCCAAGATTTTCTGTGCCTTGCTAATCTCCCAGCCACTCAAAAGGTATATCTTCCCATCTGTCGATTATTTCTTCTCCCCACCTCCCGGTGACCCTTCCAACAACTTTTTGAGGTCAAAAAGAATGGAGGCAGGCTCAAGGATGCTCTTCCTTCCTCCCCTGACATTCTAATCCAGTGGTTTGAACCCAGATGTTCTTAGACTATAAATCCGAGAAATCTTGGCCAGCGAAGCTAGTAGTTAAGGCTTCTGGGAGAACATGGACTAACTCAGTCCATTCTAAATGGCATGAAAATTGAGCAAAATGGAACAATAATTAAAACCAGCAAAAGGTGCCCATTGAAAACAACACAGTAGGGCAGGTTAGATAGCATCTGGCAATCTAAAAAGATGTGGTTTTGCTCCCTTCTTAAAATCTGTCGTAGTGGAAACAGGTCGCTGCTTGGAAGGGAGTGCATTTCGTAGCCTGGGAGCGACCCGAGAGAAGGCCCACTCCGATGTGCTTCTTAGGCGAGCCTCTGTTGATGTTTTAAAGAGGGTGTCCCCTGATGATCTTATTACAGTGGTGCCTCGCAAGACGATTGCCTCGCAAGGCAATTATTCCGCAAGACAATTGGTTTTTGCGATCGCTGTTGCGCTTCGCAAGACGATGTTTTCTATGGACAATTTTCGCAAGACGACGGCTTTTCCATTGGAACACGTTAAATAGATTTCAGTGCATTCCAATGGGGAACCGCGTTTCGCAAGACAAAGTTTTTGCAAGACAGCGTTTTTTGCAGAACAAATTAACATCGTCTTGCGAGGCACCACTGTATCTAGATAGGCTTGTAATGAGATAGGCTGTCCCTTAGACAGCCAAGGCCCCAAGCCATGGAAGGGCCTTGAACACATATTGAATTGGAGCTGGTAAGCAATTGGGGAGCAGCGCCAGTCTTTCAGTAGCATAGCCATATGATCACAGTATCATGTACCGGGTAGCAGCCTAGCTGCTGCGCATTGCCCAATTGGAAGGTCCCAGACCCTCTTCAAGGGTGGCCCCATGTAGTGTGCATGGCAGTAGTCAAGCCATAAGGTAATTAAAGGCATGGATCACTGTTGTAAAGTCAGAGCAACTCTCCTAATATTCTGCCTATACAGTGGTGCCTCGCTTAACGACATTAATTTGTTCCAGCGAAATCGCTGTAGAGTGAAAACGTTGTAAAGTGAAAATAAAAAACCAATTGAAACGCATTAAAACCCAGTTACTGCATTCCAATGGGGTAAAAACTCACCGTCCAGCGAAGATCCTCCATATGGCGGCCATTTTTGGTGCCTGTATAAAGCAAAAAGCAAAGCGTGCTGCTTATATACTGCCCCATAGCGCTTCAAGCACTCTCTGGGCGGTTTACAATTTAATTATGCAGGCTACACATTGCCCCCCCAGCAAGCTGGGTACTCATTTTACCGACCTCGGAAGGATAGAAGGCTGAGTCAATCTTGAGCCGGCTACCTGGGACTTGAACCCCAGGTCATGAGCACAGTTTTAGCTGCAGTACAGCGATTTAACCACTGTGCCACGAGGCTTTCTATAGCGAGGAATCCATCCCTAAGCACAGCGGGGAGCCATTTTGAGCACCCAGTGGCCATTATGAAAACCCGACAATCAGCTGTTTTGATTGTCGTAATGCGAAGAATCGGTTCCCGAAGCAGGGAACCGATCTTCGCAGAGTGAAAAAACCCCATTTAAAACATCGTTTTGCGATTGGAATTGCGATCGCAAAAACATCGTCGTAAAGCGTATTCATCGTTATATGGGGCAATCATTGTAGCAACCCCAGACCTACTGGAGTATCCCACCCTGTAGTTATGCTGCCACCAACCATTCGCTCTATCAAGTCACCCAGACCAGGAATGGATTTTAATAAACAAAAGAACAAGGTTTATTGAAACAACAAACAGGGTAAATAAAAGGATCAGGTAAATTGGATACTGGAACTTGGTATAGTCCCAATCATACACATACAACAGATTGGTTCCCACGGAACACTTTAAGGTAACGCACAGACCCTGAACCTATCAGTTCTGGCTACCTAGATAGAAACCTGAACCTATCAGGTATGTACTATCTGACGAACAGTTGTACCCAGTCTGACCCACAGACTCCAACTCCACTTCTCCACGTCAGCTCTCTTACGAAGGACTTCCCCCAAATATATACAGTACAGCTCCTCCCCCCTGATGTCCCGCCTTCCACTCCCCATAGGATGGAACTTTCCCTCCAAA